CACTGTTGGATTTACAAAGGCGTTTATTCTTTAAACCTTATGTCAACCTTATAAACCCGACATTTATAAACCTTAGGTCAACATTGTTATCTCAGGTGTTTGGTAGCGCCTGAGATAACAATGTTGACATAAATGTGATTAGGGCAATTGTTTGGATTTTGTAAAATAATAAGATGTCGATGGTTTCAATACCAATCTTTTGATATTCAACGGGACCGGCTACAGGGCGATTCTCTGTCTCCATATTCAATTCGACGCTTTATGATCTAGATAAAATATTTGAGAGAGAAGAGGATAGAATCTTTGATGGGGGGAAGTGCATTCAGTGCAATATGCAGACAATATAGTTTTTATACCATCTCGAAGATTGTTTACAAAGAAAATTGACTTTAGCGAATCTAATGCAATTGAAAACAGGGAAAATTCACTAATACAAAGTGTTTACAAATGATTGAGCGCATTCCATTAATAAATTATAAATAAACCAATCATTTGTAAACACCCTGTACATTAATAAAGATGTGATTGATTAATTAATCATATTAATTAAAATAAAATCTTTATGCCATAAATTAAATAAATATTAATTTAATTGACATATCTGGACAACTTGTGGGATTATTATTACATATATCTATATAGAAGATATATTAAATACAATGAATTAACCTTCATTTACTTCGATATCATAATTTAAAATAATAATATAATATTCTAAATTAAAAAACATTATAATTATATTAATAACAACAGTTAATATCGAACCTATCTGCCCCATGCAGTAAACATGCAATAAAAGGATCATTATTATATTTAAGCTATATAATATTAAAATATAGATCGTTCCAATAAATACATGCATTTAAATGTTATCATTTTAAAGATACATACGAGTCAAATACGTCTTGTATTCTTCGGTCATTCAGCTAATATGTTTTATCACGACTAATCCTATTGTTCCAGAACTTATTATGTCATGTCTGCAAGCACCAATGACATTTTTCCACGTTTAACTTTATCGAACTTATATTTTATAATTATTTATTTTAATTAATTAATTAAAAAATGAATTTTACTGTGAAATAATGTTATGAAATTTATTGATTTCTTAACATTATGTTCGAGTATTTTTTAAATTTTGTTCATGTACTTAAAATGTGTTCTTATTGATTAAAAGTTAAAGCTTCTGTCTTTATTCTTATTAAAATAACGATAGAAATATTAACAGTTTCTATGTCTATCCGATTTATTTTTATTACAGTAATACCCCGACTTACGCGAACCCGGAGTTACGCGATTTTCAAATCTCGTCGATTCCTCTTTTGTTTGAGCACCACGCAACTCTTGATTACTTACGTCCACCACACTATTGTTCAGCTTATATGTTCGGACGTGTCGCGTGGAATCGACGCATAGCTACAATTTATTTCTGTATTTGTTATATCTACAGAGACTTGAGAGACTCTACTATGTCATTCAAACGAAGAAGAACTGATTCTTCTGAATCAAACAAGAAAAGAAAAACTTTATCTTTGGAATGTAAAGTTAACATTATTAACTTCGATACATAAATGAAAATTTGTGAATTGGCAAAGAAGTTTGATCTACCGGAATCGACGGTCAGAACAATTATAAAAGGTAAAGAAAAATTTCTCAAGCTGTGAAAAATGTTCAATCTTTAAATTCAAGCATCATTCGTGAACTTCACGGTATTATCGCTGAGATGGAAACAATGTTAAAATTATGGTGTAATAATGGAGTAAATGCGAAAAATTGTCCTGTTGATCAGAACACGGTGTGCTCTCAACATAAGCTAGTTTTTGAGAAATTGAAAGAGGATGCTGGAGAGATGGCTAAAGATGAAGAGTTTAAAGTTAGTAACGGTTGGTTCAGCCGATTCAAAAGACGCTGTAATTGGCATAGCATTGCAGAAAGTGGAGAGGCAGCAAGTGCTGATAAAGAGGCTGCGTCTTACTATCTAGAGAAATTCAAAGCTATGATAGATGAAGGTGGCTATACCAGCCAAACCACATTCAACGTAGATGAGACTGACCTGTTCTGGAAGAAGATGCCTAAAAGAACGTTTATCACGCCTGAAGAGAAAACCTTTCCAGGTTTTAAGGCCGCTAAAGATTGATTGACGGTGATGGTTGGCGCGAATGCAGCTGGTGATTGTAAGTTAAAACCTCTCTTAGTTTATCGCTCGGAAAATCCAAGAGCATTAAAAAAAATCTAAAGCTGGCTTGCCTGTGATTTAGAAGTCGAATCGTAAAGCTTGGGTGGCAGCTTCCCTTTTTGAGGACTGGTTTGGTCATCACTTCATACCTGAAGTCGAACGTTATTGCCAATCTAAACAAATTCCATTTAAAGTGATGCTCATAATCGACAACGCACCAGGTCATCCCCCTGCAACTTTAACTAATTTTGACCCACGTGTGAAAGTTTTATTTTTGTCACCAAATACAACCAGCTTGTTTCAACCGATGGATCAGGGAGTCATCAAAACATTCAAAGCTCATTACACAAGACGATCGTTTGCACATCTGCATGAAGCTATGAGACAAAACAACGAGCTCTCTCTGAGACTTTTGGAAACATTTTTTTTCTAAATTATTGTTTTCTTTAGTCTCTGGCACCATATAAAAATAATTTGTATGTATTTGTATGCGAAATTATACCCCGACTTACGTGAATTCGACTTACGCGGTTATCGCTCGGTCCCACCTGTCGCGTAAGTGACTAATTGCTAAAGTAAGAAACTTTTGTGAATACAATAATTTCCAAGGCATAGAATTTTTAAAAAACATATTACTAAATTTTCTGTTTTTTCTCTCTTCGAATATGGTTAATTCTAGGGTTTGTCTGTCGGGATCCCGGGATTTCGGTTGTTTTTTTAATCAGGGAAATTTTTCTCATCCCGGGAAATTCTGCAAGTTTCTTAAAGTTTACTTTTTTCTTATTTTGTGTTAAGGTTGAGAAAATTTAGCAAATAGAGAGTATAATTAACTCATAATTTGTCAGAATTCATTTGTATTTATTAGTTTTAAACCTACTTATTAGTTTCTTAAATTTTTCCGCGTTATAGCATGTCTCAAATGGACAATAATCAATACGTAGCTTATTTGTGGCAGACTCTAAAAATTCTTTACTTGTCAGAACTATCTGGAATTAATATCTAGAATAATTGTGCTTAACCATACCCCATGGCTTCAATAACTGCATTATGCCAGATTGTGCAAATTGGGTATTGGGCAAGGATACAAATGATTACGAATTCTGCAAATATGAAGTTTTTCTTCATAAACCTGATTACTAAAGACAAGCGAACTGCCGAATTATTGGGCTATATTGATGTTTCTGTTAAAGCAGATGAGGTAGACAAATCAAGAATACATCTCGAAATCTTTCAGGCTACGGGTGAAAAAACACATAATATCAGTCTTCTCTTAAATGCATTAAAAACGATTCCACTCGCATCAATTGAATGGAAAAGGGTATTCTCGATAAAAGGACTTTTCATTACTAAAATACGAACCGGATTGAGTGATCGGAGTATCGACCACATTTGCTTTTTAAAATCTTATAAAAATTTACAATAATATTTTGTATTATGTTTTATTTAAAAAACGAAAATTACCGTCTAACTTAGAAGTTTGATCTAAGTTCATTTTTTTTAATAGTACTTAATTATACTTAGACCCATGTGAGAAGAATTATTAACAAAATAATTGCGATTTGATATGCTATAGAACTGTTCGAATGCGTACAAGTACAAATTGAGAAGGANTTTTTCCAAAATCCCGGGACAAGCAAAAGACCAAGAAATGAGAATGGTTAATTCTCGCCCTGTTATCCTTTAATGATAAAATAAGTTAAATACAAATTTAAGATGTACTTTTTGTGATAAAAAAAATTCATTTTCGTCAAGATGTAAATTCTTAAATTTATTTTAACCATTTTTAATATTAAAAGTTAAAATTCTAAGTTAGTGTTAAAAATTTTGATATTGTATTTAACGTTTTATGCCTATTTATTATTTTAATAAATTTAAATACTATAATGATAAGCAGTTACAATGTGTTTATAGTATCTAAGTTAATATAGTTACACCCCGTAATTACGTTAGCGATTTTGGTGAAGAAGATTTACGATCTCGTGTGTGAATAAACATTACAATGGTAACGAATTCAACCGAATACGAATTTCGTCTATACAAAGTGCCAGCTATTTTAAATATAATAATTTCTAATTTTGATTTTAAATATAAAATAGACAACTACCTAATTATGTAGATCCTAAAATTTATTATTAAAATTGTAAGAGTAAAAAAAAAAATTATATAAATTACAATATAATATAATTTATATTACACAAATATGTCATAAGATATCCCAACAAATTTCAATATACAATTTGTCAGAAATATAATTTTTCAGAATAGTGTCAAGTTTCTTCGAAACTTTCAATTATAAATCAATGAAAATATTTTTAAATTTACTAAAAATAACTGGCGATTTTATTAGAAAATTTCTGGATGTTTAAAACTATCTTAGGGAGTTTTTATGCTAAAATTTGATTTGTCTAAGACAAATTATAGATTTATGATAAATAAATCAAATTTTAAAAAGAAAATCAAAAAATATCAGATTTTTAAATATTATTAACCCAAACTTTTCAAAAAATGTTTATACTATAGTGATGATTAGATAAAAAATTGTTCTGAAATATTTTTCATAGAAGTTAATTTTATCAGTAAATTGTATTAAAATATTTCGGTGTTTTTATGTCGATATATCAAATAACATCAATTATTTCAAACCAATGTTTTACTATAGATGTGTGCCAAACATTATATCTGTGTTTGAAGTACTACAGCTAGATTGTGCAAGCTTATTCATACAACAGATTATTTTTACAATTCATTAAGAAGTAATGAGTTTTGTTTATTTACACAGGTTTTCTTTTCTTTCTTTCTTTTAGAGTTTAAATCAAAACAAAGATCTCTTGAAGCGGACAGCAGAAAAATATCCAAGTTTTACAAATATCCGGTAAGGAAAATTTGTTTTGTATTAACTTTAAAATCGTTTAAAATTCAATTCAAATTGAAAAAATTAGGGTAAACATTCACAAATTTGTGAAAAAAATTAATAAATCTTTTATTATTGGGTGCGTATTTCGTAAATGGAAATGTTAACAATAAATAATGGAATATGGCTGCATTTTCATATCTTGATTTTCTAGTGATATATTTTTTGTTTTGTGTACCATTCGTAATTTAACGGGTAAGCTTGTGACAATACATTGCTAATTTCGTCAGAGTATATTTTAGCTTATATTTCATTGTTAATTGAGTTAATTTTATTACAATACATATATTTCTTACACTTCTTAACTAGCAAGCATTCGTGCGTGCACATGCATAAAATAGCTTTAATCTTCATCTGAATCGCTAGGCACATTTGAAACATTTAAATACATCTTTCTCTTTTTCATATGATGCTTGGAGTTTCGTATGATACGAAACCAAACAGAAACTGCATTGCACCCATTGCCACTTTGTTTTCGTTTTAACATCATTACAATTGTGACCACAGACTCAACAGTCACAATCGTTGCCTTTTTTTGGTTTCCGATATCAGCTTCTGTTATTTGCTGGACATTCCTGTAAAGAATCAAATAAATCAAAGTTAGTTTTTGGCCTATTTAATAGGATATAGGCCAAAACACAGCAACCAACGCATTTCCTATGATGTTGACATTAACAACACGTTTTATTTTATTCAAATTCTACAATGCAGTCAATGTAAATGAATTCTTACCTTTTCCATATTTCGGAAGATGTTCCAGAAAAGGGATTCACATATTTAGCTTGCCTCGCATTACTTTTTCGCTGTTGTTTGGTTCTTTTATGTTCGTAGATACTGTCGGCAAAACTAGGACACTGTCTAAGCTTACACTCACAGCTGGCTGCTACTCTGTTAAATTATTAGTCATGTCAAGAGATTTTTAAAATAGCGAAGTCCTCGTATGTGATACCAGTCTTCCTGAAGCTATTGATAATTGTTTCAGGAATAAAGGTAACGTAGAAAGCTTGTTTTATTAGCCTATGAAAACCTGAGCGGTTGGATAATGCCCACTATTTTCAGACATGTAGTGACTTTAACTTTTTCCCCAAGTCTGTTTGAAAGGGCGATAGATGCCTATATCTGAGTTGGAGAAGATGAATAACGTGGGCAGAGAAGGTAAAGTAAAAGTCGGAACTGGTGGGTCTTACAGACGCCTTGAGTTCATTCTGTCCATTCTGTCCATTCTGTCCTGGACAATCCTCATAAGTTATGGGGATTTCCCTATAACTTATGGGGATTTCCGTTGAATGCTCTGACGGTTTGTTTCTGGGCCTACACGTCCAGAAACAAACCGTCAGAGTTGGGAATTAGCTGTTGGAAAAGATAACTTATCTTCCCAACTGCTAATTAACAACTAGCTCTGAAATTTACGCACGTATTAGTTCAAACATGTTCGGACACGAATGAACATGTCATTTCGATATAATTATGTCACGGGCAACACTACGTGGCCATTCCAGGAATTCAATTGTCACACCTTGTATATCTATTCTTTTTTTATATTAGTATTGCTTCAGTCATATATAAGAATATAATTAAAATAATACCATAGCGATCATTAATAATTTATCGGAGTTCCAGGTAAATCGTTTGTCACCTCGAGGATCGATAGCGACTATGCTGGAAGCTGTTCAATTAGATATTTGTGTTTGTGTTTTGTATGTGTATGTTGGAAACACTTCAAGAATATGTTCTATGTGAATACACTGTAGTTTAAATTTACGTTTCGTTAAAATAAATTATAATTTACATTTAATGATATAAATTAATTTCTTTTTGTTGCAATTGTATGATGTATTGTTGTTGCCAGCTCAACACATCGTCGTTCACTAATGTTGCCAGATCAACGGAGGAGCAAAAATGAGGATTCAGCTCAATACTCAACAAGTGTTATAAGTTCTGGTTGTTGTGAAATCTACATATATAATCGAGATGGGTTGATTATAATAATAATAGTAAGCGCAGAGCCCAAACGGTTAGGAGTTGAAAGTTGAAATTTGGTACACAGTTAGGGTACATCACGAGAATGTACACTAAGAACAGATTTTTTGAAATCCCCCCGTGGGGAAGAGGGAGAGGATTAAGGCTTACCCTGAAGAACTCGGTTTCTACTGTACTACTTTAGATGCGGTTTTTTGCATTTTTGATTGCATTTTAATGGGGTACGTACACTAAGAAAAGATTTTTCGAAATTCCCTTCGCGGGGGAGAGTTGTTAACACTTCCCCGCGGGGGAACTGTTAACAATGGAAGTGTCAACAATGGACATGTCAAGAATGAAAGTGTTAACAATGGAAATGTTAGGAGAAATCGACTTACAAGATTTACAATGCTCAGATGCGGTTTTTTGCGTTTTTGTGGAAAATCGAACATATTTTTAGATCCATCTAAAAATTCTCCAATTAGTCTGGAAACAGGGGGACCTAATTCTTGCATTGTATGAAAACGGGTAAGATTTGCTATAATGTAATAATCTTAATCTTAACTATCGTTACTTTTTTGCCCGAGCAACACCGGGCTTATCTGCTAGTTATTTAATAAATTAAATAAACTTTATTTTTGATCATACAAATATCGACCGTTGCTTTGTGAATAACAACAATATTGACTAAATAAATATGTTTAAAAATTTAATGAAGAATAACTGATGGTAAGCAGGGGCGCCGCTAGCTGTTTGAACGCCCGTGTGCAATACCGATTATGCCGCCGCCTATTTAACTATGACTACCTACGCTGCAGGCCCGCCGTAAGCGGGCGTGCAAGGCGTGCACCGCACGCGGGCGGCACGTCCAGGGGGGCGGCAAAGAGCCTTTCTGGCAAGCTCAGCATAGGTAGTCGTAGTTAAACAGGGGGCGGCATAATCGATATTGCACACGGGCGTTCAAACAGCTAGCGGCGCCCCTGCTACGCTGAGCTTGCCAGAAAGGTTCTTTAGTGTTGTCTCATAAGGGTGTGAAAAAATAAATAAATACTTTACAAAGAAAAACTATTTATTATTACTAAATTATTTTTGTTTATTTAAGTGTAAAACCATATAAATATT